CAATTCAGCGTATTGGCAAGTGAGAAAAATAATTTCCTGGAAAAGAGGCTGTTTTGCTTTGTTTTTCCATGGCTGGCGCTGGAAGAAAATACCGCTGAGATTTCCTCCAAAGAGCCATGCTCCTTTTTTGAGATCGTAGTCGCTGGGATCTATGCTCAGAGCTTTGCTGATGTTGAAATACACAAGCAGCATGTGGACAGTTTCAACAGAAAGGAGGAAACCATGAAAATGAACAAAATCTGGCTACCAGTATTAAAGGACTCTAAAATTACAACAGCACAACAACAGAGGGGAAACAATCAGGGACAGCTAATCACCTCTCAACAAAAGTTTGCTCTAGGCACTGTCAGGGCATTATATACTAATCAAGGTAGTCAGTTGCAACATTCACACCTAGCTCCAGCAGACAAGAGTCCTTTGTCCCACCCTGGTCATTCCACAGGTATATAAACCCAATTTTCCTAGTTCCAACAGACCTCACTACCTCTGAGGATGCTTGCCATAGATGCAGGCGAAACGTCAGGAGAGAATGCCTCTAGACCATGGCCATATAGCCTGAAAAAAACTACAACAACCCTGTGATTTCGCCATGAAAGCCTTCGACAATACTTTGCTGATGTCGTTACTGAGCATCAAGTCAGCCTTTGAAAAGGCAGGCCTCCAACTCCAAGGGACTCTTGCAGGAAAATCAGGGCAGGGCCCTCCCCTCCCTCCTTCCCTCCCTCCCTCTTTTCCTGTGGTCTTCTTTTACTTTAGGGTTGCCCATATGCCATTCAGTGGTCCATCCATGAAGTGGGGTTCCTCTTAGGCCAGGGTCCCCTCCTGTGTTTCCACAGCCAGAGTCCTCGCCCAACATTCGCATTACTGCACCACACTGGCTTACTCCACGGCAGCACCGTGATCAGGTTTTCCTGGAAAGATTGATTCAGAGCATAGTTTCCAGCCTGGCTTGTCTCTAAGGCTGGGCAAGGGGGCTTAATAACAAAAGACCCTCCCCATGAATGCACATGAATGCAGAGTAACTTCTCAGCAGCAGCAGCATGACCCAACATCAGTAGCCCAAAGGTAAAGGAAGAACAAAGACACACAGACCAATGTTATCTCTTCCTTTGGAGGCTTTTCTTTCTAGCAAAATAATATGGTTGCAATATTTACGACAACAAGGTTTCCATGACACAAATAAAGTTCAACCTTTACAGTGGAGCTTCACACACAAGACCTTCTCATACCTCACAATCAGGCCTACTGTTGTACACCAGAACAGCAAATGGCCCCTCTGACTATAAACACTCCACACGTTGAGTGAAGGAACAATTCTTTTTATTAAAGCTTAGCCAAAAAAAGCCATTAGAAATAAATGCTTGTAAAGATAGCTAAGATTCCAAAAAGAAATAAGCCATTTAAAGGCAGGAAGAAGACACAGCGTCCAAACCTAGCATTCAAAAGCAATGCTCAAAAAGCATGAAATAATATTCCAAGGCACTGATAATCCAAACAGGAATCAACCAAGAAGCAAATACAGACCAGCTGCTGCTAGTCAAGTTGAAAGGCTAGAAAAATCCATGAAGACGAGACCACTTGAACAGGAATTCCATGAAGCTTGTACTCGGTTTGCAAACAATGCCTGATCTGACAAGATTCTCTAAAGGCAAACCTTAAATCCCAAAAACTGGTTTCGTTTTCCTCCAGTCTTTGGCCTTAACTGACAAATTCTTTCAGATCTATGTAAACATTGGGCCTCTTGTCGATTCTGGCTAATCTTCAGCCGCCGCCTCTGCTTATCTGACTCCTCATTAACTTTCCCAGGTGCCAGACTGTTTCCAAACTAGAATCTGGAGAGCTCACATGCGGAGGGAGTAAACCTTTCTCCCAAGGCCTGACAGAAACATTCTCATGAGAATCTGCCCTTTGCACCGAAGCCTCTCTGTCAGTGTCTGCATGAAACTCATTGACCAAAGTGTCTCCATCTTGCACCTCAGAGTCAGTCCCAGCATCCCCCACATCAGAAGCAACAGGGGACTGATTTCCCTCCTCAATACCCATATCAGACACAGAAACATATACACAGTTCAAGCACAGGCTCAGGTTCAATCACAGGCTAGGTCCCAACACCTACTAACATTGAGGCCTATTCTCCCGTTGAGGTGATCTCTCACACAGAGAGGCTGCTCTCACACTGAGAGCTCTCTCAAACTGAGGCATTACTAAGCAACAGGCACACCTGCTTTTATTTAATCTCTCTGAGTCACTGCTTTTCAATTTAACCCTTTAAGTGCTTGTCTCACATTTTTGTAACAAAAATAGCGAGTTAATTTTTAATATTTCTGACACTCCCTGGCTGAGCAGGGATTCAAATCATGGTCTCCAGAGTCAGAAATCTCTTCTGATGTCAGCCAGTGCGGCACAACACTTTGAGTGCTGGATGCGACTTTGGAGAACAGAATTTGAATTACAAAACTGGGGGCGTGCTGTTGCTTTGTTTCTAAAGTGTTTCTATAGTATAGTTAGTGAAAATTCTGTTACTATAATGAAACTAACAAAATTTCATTACTATTTTGTTGCAGCAATTGTGCCTAATTAAATGATTATCTCCTATCTCCCTCAATTTAAAAGCTATTGAGGTGAAACTTGCTACAATGGTAAACCTCTTTTACCACTGTTAGTCCACCAAATTTCAGAACGTTTTACTTATCCATGGAGGTTTGGTGAATTTTCAAAGTTTTTATAAACTTCTTTAATAATAAAGAAAATCTGTTCCTAGTTTCAAAAATAATATTTCCTGTTCAGTTGTGTAGTCCTTACTTTGAAATTAGTTGTTCTACTTCAGAAACTTTGCTTTTGTGGCAGAAACTTTGCTAAATTGTTATGCTATAGGATGATGTCCCTTGCGCAAAGACCAAATTTTTATGATATATTTATTTATTTATTTCAAGCATTTCTACCCCGCCCTTCTCAACCCCCTAAGGGGGACCAAACCAATTAGGAACTGCCATTTAAAAGCCAGGAACAGAAATTATAGTATAGAATATTAACAAATTTATCTCCTCTCCTGATTGGTGCTTTCTGCTGTTAATGGGAAAAGTTGTTTATTTATTTATTTATTTGCAGCTTTTATATTCCGCCCTTCTCACCCCGCAGGGGACTCAGGGCGGATTACAGTGTACACATATATGGCAAACATTCAATGCCAATTTTTGACATACAAATATACAGACATACACAGAGGCTATTTAACTTTTTCTGGCCGCCAGGGGAGCTGTCACTTTCCTCGTCCATCTGCGACGCTGATGAAGCACTTCCGCATTCCCCGCATGCTTCCCCGCTGGAATGCTTTGCTGGAGTCTTCTTTATGGCCTCATAAATCAGTTAATTTAGCCTCCCACACTTTAAGGTGGTACCTTATTTTCCTACTTGACAGATGCAACTGTCTTTCGGGTTGCAAAGGTCGACAACAGGCTACACACAATTGGTTGGAAACCCACTCCAACCCGGGCTGGCTTCGAACTCATGGCCTTTTGGTCAGAGTGATCTTAATGCAGCTGACACTCAGCCAGCTGCGCCACAATCCCGGTGGACAGAGACTTTTGAATTCTTTGGCAAAGGGCTCCTCTCCTTCCCAAACTACATTTCCCAGAGTTCTGTGCTGTTCCCAAAATGCACTGCTCCCTCTTTTTACTGCTCCTAATGCCGAGAAGCCATTAATTCCAGGGAGAAGACTGGCAAGGCAGGCAGGCAGGCAGCCTTTTTGGCTTGATGGCTTGGCTTCCTTGCTCTGAATATGAAATTGACTTTGGGAGCCTTTCAAGATTTACAAAACTAAAGTGAAAAAGTATGGGGTAAGTTTCGACTCTAAAAGATTTGGTGTGGAATATGACTTCGGATATAGCTTCCGACTTACAAAACTTCCGATTTTATTACGAATTCCGACTCTTCTTATTTTTTTGCAATATCTATCTATCTACCCTAACCCTTGTTGATGTCATGGGAAGCGGGGAGGGAGAATAACCAGCATTTATTTATCATGTCAGGAGCAAACCAAACAGTTGTATTACATTTTTGACAGAACAAACAAACAAACAAACATACAAAAGACACAGAATTTGCAAGCTTGGTAATCTATTCGATGTCCTTTGACCAGTCTCTGGCCCCTTGGAGTGCCTCTGGTGTTGCCGCAAGAAGGTCCTCCCTTGTGCATTATGTGGCAGGGCTCAGGTTGCATTGCAGCAGGTGGTCAGTGGTTTGCTCTTCTCCGCACTCGCATGTCGTGGATTCCACTTTGTGGCCCCATTTCTGCACCTCGTGGTGCCAGAGCGCAGTCTGTTCAGGGCTTTCCAAGTCGCCCAGTCTTCCGTGTGCCCAGGGGGGAGTCTCTCATTCGGTATCAGCCATGGATTGATGTTCTGGGTTTGAGCCTGCCACTTTTGGACTCTCGCTTGCTGGGGTGTTCCAGCGAGTGTCTCTGTAGATCTTAGAAAACTATTTCTTGATTTAAGTCGTTGGCGTGCTGGCTGATGCCCAAACAAGGGATGAGCTGGAGATGTCTCTGCCTTGGTCCTTTCACTATTGGCTGCTACTTCCCGGCGGATGTCAGGTGGTGCGGTACCGGCTAAGCAGTGTAATTTCTCCAGTGGTGTAGGGCGCAGGCACCCCGTGATCATGTGGCATGTCTCATTAAGAGCCACATCCACTGTTTTAGCGTGGTGAGATGTGTTCCACTCTGGGCATGCGTACTCAGCAGCAGAGTAGCATAGCGCAAGGGCAGATGTCTTCACTGTGTCTGGTTGTGATCCCCAGGTTGTGGTCAGAATAACCAGTGAAAATGGGGGAAATTATTTTCCTCCTTCAACTCCCTCCGCCATAAAATGAACTGTCCTTCTCTGTCTAGCGCCCCCTTTTGGCCTCGGCATAGATAACGGAAGAGGACCCAATCCAGACCGTGATTAATGACCTCTTCCCTCCCTGCCTCCCTTCTCCTCCCGGTTCCACCTCTTGTCCTGCAGGTGAAGGTGTGGTTCCAGAACCGGCGGACGAAGCAGAAGAAGGACCAGAGCCGGGACTCAGCCAAGCGCTCCCCGCCGGGGGGCTCCTCCTCCTCCTCCTCGGAGTCCTTCGCCACCTGCAACATCCTCCGCCTCCTGGAGCAGGGCCGCCTCCTCGCTGCTGCTGCCGCCCCACCACCGCCCCCTCCGGCCCTGCTTTCCCCGGGCGGACCCCCCTCCGCTGCGACCTCTGTGTCCGCCTCCTCCGGTGCCCCCCAGGAAGCCCCTTCGCCTGGGTCCTTCGGCCTGGCGCTGCCCACCCCGCTGGCACCGCCCTCGGCCTTCCCGCTGCGCTGCTTCGGGGGCCTCCATGACTTGCCCGGCGGGGGCGGTGGGTACGGACTCGGCCCCTCGGCCTTCGAGCCTTACACGCGGGTGGAGAGGAAGGGCGCCCTCACGCTCCCCGCCAAGAAGCCCGGACCCTGACTGCGGCTCCGCATAATTATTCATAATTGGGGTGCGGTGTGGTTTTCCGGGCTGCCTGACCATATTCCAGCAGCATTTTCTCCTGACGTTTCACCTGCACCTGTGGCTGCTGGCATCTTCACAGGATCTGATGGTGGTCAAGGAAGTGGAGTCTATATACCTGTGGGATGTCCAGTGTGGGAGGAAAGAACCATTGTCTGCTAAACAAGTGTAAAGGGTGCAATTAGCAAGCTTGATTTGCAAGCGTTGAGTGGGATCTATCCCTTAGCATGTGAGTATTGTTTACTACCTAGAGCAGGCATGGGCTAACTTGGGCCTTCCAGGTGTTTTGGACTTCAACTCCCACAACCCCGAACAGCCGGTAGGCTCTTTGGGATTGTGGGAGTTGAAGTCCAAAACACCTCGAAGGCCCAAGTTAGCCGATGCCTGCTCTGGAGACATCCTTTGTCTGTGGGGTATTCAATAACCCTCGATTGCTTGCTGCCTGGAGACTTCCTGTGTCTGGGTGGCGTTCCTTATTCATTGTCTTGATTCTGGTGATTTTCAGTACTGGTGGCCACATTTTATTCACTTCATGGTTTCTTCCTTTCTGTTGAATTTTTTGTGTGTACTTTTTTGGATTCAATGGCTTCTCAAGTTTGCAGTTACTCTAACAGACAAGGGTTCTTCCTCCCACCCTGGACATTCCACGGGTATATAGACTCCACTTGCTTGACCACCATCAGATCTCGGAAGATGCCAGGCACAAATGCAAGCGAAATGCTGCTAGAAGACATTGGCTCGAATTCAGCCCAGAAGCCACGCAACACCCCAGTGATTCTGGCCGTGAAAGCCTTTGACAATACAATAATTATTATTATTTGCATCATTGTGATTAATGACACAAAGTAAAGAAGGAAGGCCCCTCTCGTTCCCCTCCCCCCCTTTTCCCCATCACGCCGGATCTGGCCCCGTTTGTTCTCTTTGCAAAGGGGGGCTTCGAGGACGTGTCTACCTGTGAGTGCGAGTGCGCATTGAGTGCAGTCCTTTCGTGGAACTATTAAAATAAGCAACTGCAGACCAGGCCTGAGCCCCGGTGCTTGACTGGAGGGAAGGGGAGGGAAGGAAGGAAGGAAAGGAGGGGAGCCACCCAACCACATCTCCCATCATCCCCTGGGTGTTGCACCTCTTCACTCAGCACCACTCAAGAGTTCAGAAGTAGCTAACTATGGTTTATTTACCAAAAGGATCTACAAAAGGGGAAATAGCAATTCCCAAAAAGCAGTACAAAATGTGCTATGAGTCCCAAATGCAAAGATCAATGGTCCAAGACAGCAAGGCACAAGTAATCCATGAAGGCAAGGGACATGAAATCCATGAAGTTAAGAACATGGGCATAAATCCATAAGCAGGAAACAAGAACATAGGCATTGATCCATAAGCATGAAAACACAAACTTTCCCGAGGCGAAACTATTTCAGGAAGATAGGCAACTGAGAGCTAAACATGAACTTGACGTTAAGGCAACGTTGTCTGCTCTGAAGAGACCAGGAAAGCATCCCTTAATTTAAGATCAAACCTGACCAAAAAACCATGAGATTATCCCTCTCAAAGCTGTTTTTCAAGGACTGCTTCTCACAGAGTCTTTCTGACTTCCTAATTAACCTTTAATTTACTCTCTCCATGCGGAGGGCTAATCTCATATCGCGGGGTAAGTTCCCGTCTTCTGAAGTCCGAAAAGAGAAACGGAATCCCAAACATCCTCTATCTCTTCTGCAGCTGTTGTCCCTTCTCTCTGATCTATGGCCTGCATTTCTGTCTGTGTTTTAGCCTGACCACACACAGACTCAGTGAAAAACCCATCATTCCCCTCATTCCCCAAGGCAGAATCCCCAGCATCCCCAGCATCTTGCTGATAAGCTCCAACAATGGGAACCTAGACCCTGCCGAGATTGGCATTACTTCCCTTGAAAATGTGAGACATGGGACTATGGGTGAGGCTGGATGTACACTGCCATATAATCTAGATTATCAAAGGACATCATCCACATTATCTGCTTTGAACTGGATTATATGCGTCTACACTGCCATATAATCCAGTTCAAAGCAGATAATCTGGATTGTATATACCAGTGTGGAAGGGGCCTGAGAGCATAGCACAAACCCGTGAAAGGGCGGGGATGGACTCTCCTACTAGAGCCTTTGGCTGCTTGAAGCCCCTTTTCAAAGAGAGAGGGGCTGCAGTGCTTCCAGACCCCTTTCGTCCTCTCCTTCTCTCCGCCTCTCAATCACACCGGTTTAAGGCAAGCCGGACAAGCTATAAGATGGAAATGTTGACTTACAAAACATGTGGACCAAACCACAGGCAAAGCATCTGGAAGGCAGAGAGACAAAAATCAAAACATCACTCTCCGTGCATCCAAAAATTGTGGGAAACCCCTATTCATTCAGAGACATTCAGAGGGCTTTTCAAGACAAGCCCTCGTGTGCCCTGTTTCGTTTGGAGAGCAATGCCCCAGACAGCAGGAAGCATGTGTCCTTCTCTACAAAACTCTGCAACGGTTTTTTTGTCAGAAAAGAAAGAGACACAAGCTCAGGAACCTTAGAGCCTGCATCCCATTCTTCACATCCCATCATTGCATACCATCCTTTACTTCTCAATCCTTTACATCCCAGTCTTTGCATCCCAACCTTTGCATCCC